TTCACCACTAGTCTGGTTTCCTCTATCAGTAGAACGAAGGTGACTCACCAGCACGAAACATTGAGATTGACGCTTGAAAGAAATGAAGTGAGTTCACCGATCAAAGATTGGTCGCAGTTGTTTGAAATAATCTGGATTAAATCAAGGAAGCTTCTTTATCGCTGGAATTTTCGAGATTTCACAATCTTATACTAGAATTGTGAATACCGGCTTCTCTATAACACGAAGAGTTACAAAGTATGGATCAGTCATGGCAACAAGAATTGTGTACATCAACATACAGTTATCCAATCATGATGTCCCCACAAAACGTTATTAGATATCCAGCGTCTGCGCACTCAACAGGAAGTTTGTATTCGTATTGTTGTAAATAGTTACCAATACAATGTGACATATTTTACATGTATTCCGATATTTTTCACGTAACTAGGGGATGGGATGGTGAAGATGGAACTATAGCAGTGAATGCACATCCATGTACTACATATATGTTGTAATATGAATATCTCATGAATAATTAACGACCACTCATTCCTATTTATCGTGTCATGGATAAATGTGTCAGAATCAGATAGCCAATATGTATCCTTTGTCTATGTTAACGGTTAGAAATAAAGGTAACAAGCGCTTGAGTCCTACTAATTTTTCAAGAGAATGAAAATTATTCCCAACTCATTGAATGAACACACCTGCTCAGGTGAAGAACAGGATATTAGGTTGCAAATAACAAACAAAACAAAGAATAGATGGAATCTCTGATCTTTGACGAAAAAGCACAGATAAAATTCATAAGTCGATGCTTTTTCAATAATGAAGCTAACTGATGTCAAATACCTAGTCTTATTCTTGTATAACCAGACAAAAGCTTGGCAAAATCAGCTTCATGATGATGAAAAGTAACTAATGTATGATTTCTAAGCAGTACAATAATACCGAACTTAGCCTAGTAGTTTAGTGCACCAACGTTAGGGTCACAGCATTTGGCAAAAAAACTGAGGTTGGCGACACACCTAAGTACATTTCCTACCTCAAGGTTTGGAAAACATTGAAGATCTTTTACTGAGTCATATGAATGAAAACATACGTCAATGTCTGTCTTACTCCACACTTTGCAGAATGCCAGCAGTAACAGAATCATCTCTTCTGGGACATCCTTTTAGTTGTTTATGAACACTGTACACCCAATTGTTTGCGTGGTTTCTCGGGTTTAATACATGACACTGGTAACAGTGAGCACGCATTGACTTCCGAGCAATCGAATGATTTCTTATGTTATCATAGAGCCGTGGACAATGAGTTCTCAGGAGCTTTGGCTTCTGAATATATTGCATTGTGGAAAGTGAAGTTCACGCGTCAGACCACCTGGTACTTACGAGATGTTTTAAGCATTTGTGAACGCCTACATTTCTAAACCATAGCAAATAATCTGTACAGTTAACACTTACCTTCCTGAAAATTTCTCTTAAGACATGAAACCAGCACAGTATAATGTTGGCATGGTTAAGTGTAGACTGTAATGCCGTAATTTCAGTCAGTGCCGAATCCGTAACAAAAGTGTGTGTACCATATATATGTAACACATCAAGTAGTCTTATGACGTCTTCGCGTCGCTCTTGCCTGGAAAGATCATACATGACGGTTTGCTCTTGCTCAAAACTATCAGTAAAGACTTATTGAAACAGTGGAAAACGTCGACGCAAAGTTGTCATTATTCGTTACTTATCCAACTTTGTTGGTCTGATAAGCTGAGCCAATACATACTACCCCTGGAAACGCGAGGTAGATAATTATTTTCTCCTTGCAACCAAAGCAAATAATGTATATGCTCCCTCTTTCATCGAACACTTTTACTTCAGTTCTTGTCTGGAAGCGTTGATATGCTTGATATCTAAACTCGATGAATTAGAATGTGGGTTTGATAACCTGGGGATATCTGTGATCGCATTTTAGCAATATCGTATTTGGTAAGCTGTTTGTGAAACTTTTAAGAAACCAGTTATCGAACACTACGCGTAGGAGTGTTAAGCAACAGAAATGGCCTCAAATATAACCATTCATTCGACGACAACTGACGTCTTGAAGGATCTACAGAAATGTATCCGTCTGTGCAAGCATGTGGCGGTAAATAAAGTCCCGAAATCGATAGCTCTGTAAGTCTTCGGCATTTGATGCTGGTCACATTAGTTTTACTGGACTGACTTAGCTGAAGGTGCTTGTTCGTGAGTCCACACCACATCACGAGTGGGTATGCCATGTTTCATATCTTTTTAAAAAGCTAACCGACTTAGATGAGTCAAATCCACATATATCAATAGCCTATCAAATATGTTTTCGAATATCTTCACATCTGACTTCTGATTTGGCTGGGTTGGCACATTTTGACCACAATGGCATTACTGATTAAAATGTCAAATTTCGAATGTGTGTCGCATCTTTAGTGATGAGCTCGACGTGATCTGGTACACCTATTAGCAAACTGTGAGTCTGTTCCTTGTTGGAACTTTACATGCAATTTTTTTTACTTTTGTTTTTACATATTGTGGTGAATTTGTTCGTATTTTGGAATATTTTCTCTCATTCATTGCTATGCTTTACACTCGCCATGACTGAACAGACTCTTAAATTATCTGAGATCAAGACTCTTTCGCCACCCTCATTTCAGCTAATACCATTCTGGACCGACAACACTGAAGCCTTGTTCTGCTACACAGAATCTGACATCATGTGCACGGCGTGACCTATCTACCAGCACAATACCCCTCAGCAGTGGAGGTACTACCGAGCTAATTCAACATGTTCGTCGCATCTAGTATGCTTACTAGTGATGTCTCGGAACCCTACGAAACTTTGAAAAACGGTTATCGTTAGGAGTGGAGATCTAATCACCGACAAAAGCTAGATCAGTTCTTCAACAACATCAAACTACAACGTGACTGAATGACAGAAATGTTGCTACGAATGCGAGAGGTCATTGGTCAACGGACCTTTGACGAATGTCTGTTAAGACAGATCACCTTGTTTAGGCCTCCCCAACCGAAGCAGGCAGCGTTTGTCTCATTTCAAAGCAACACTGTAGACGGCCTGCGTGCATCTGCCTATCGAATTCTGGAGACCACCGGAACTTCGAACGCCGAGGTCTGTTCAGTCAAATAAAACTAAAGCGACACAAAATGACGTTTCAGAACTCTGTTGAACTCTGACACGTTACCTTCGTATTCGTCATGACCCTAAACGATTACAAACCCTCTAAGGAGCTCTTCAGAAAAATGATCTGTCTGTAGATCACGAGAGACTGATGACGCAACTGGTGCTGGTGTGATGATTAGTACGGAAAATCTCGAAATCGCAGAAAACCCTGAAATATTCCGAGCTCCAAACTGACCAGCCGGCAATCGTTAACGGCAACCATAGCCGGTGAACATAGCCGTCTGCTGTACACCACTTATTTGATGACAAAATTTCGCTACCTCGTTGACACTAGCGCAGAAGTCAGCGTATTTCCTGCAAATTGTAACGACCGACTGCATGAAGCAGTTGTAGACTTACAAGAAGCAAATGAGGAACCGATCACTACATACAGTAAGTGGTATTTGTACCTTAACGTGAGTATACGCAAATCTGCCCACTAGAAACCCGTCTTTGCAGATGTGTTATACGTCAGTTATTAGTAAAGACCTGCTACAGCATCATAGTCTCGTCATCAACAAGCGCAAACGGAGGTTGGTAGACGGAAATATCAATCTATCGATTTGTATAACTTCTTTTTCCCGTTGTAGATTACCCCCAGTCACAGTAAGGCACACGGTCTATCCATACTACCTACAAATACTCGATAAGTACTCTGAAATATATAAAATGCAACTGAATTATCCGTGTGAAATCAGCAATGTTACAGATCACATCACGACTACAGGACAACCTATATTCTCGAAAGCTCGCCGATAAGCTCCCAAAAAGATGAGGTTGGCAAAAACGAATTGGACCACAAATTAGACTTAGGAATCATTCGGCCATCAAACAGCGCTTGGGCATCTATCTTGCATATGGTCCGTAAAAAGGATAACAATGACTGGCGTCCGACAATTTTGATACCTCACTCGGCAATCAAAAATTATGACGACACTCCGGTAGTATCTGACATCCAACCTAAAACGACTCGTTCTAGAGGAAAAGTTATGTTCCCGAAACACCTGAATAATTACTGCGTGTAAGACAATGCATAATGTTTTGTTTCGTCTCGACATTTTTTTGTATTATTGTGTCAAAAAGACAAGGACAAACTGTTTTCAAATCGCCTATATGTATCTATTATCCCGAAAAACAGATACAAATTATCGTGCTGTATATATTTTTATCTTTTCAAAGGACTACAAAAAAATCAATATTCAGAAATCGTTTTGGCACTATTACAGCTTACGAAATACATGCACATCGATTTATTTTCACTTTTCTCCCGACTTGTGTCATTGAGGATCTACGAGTGTATCTTGACATGCTATCACAATTCCTTCTTTTTCCTTTCCATGACGTCTAGAAAAGATGAAAAACGGACGGAGAATACGATGCGTAGAAATTTTCATTGTACATTTTATTTTCGTTGATGTATTTCAGCATACAGGGGAAAGTCGGCCAGGCACTGCTGAACATAGCAAGCTATTGGAAGGGTGTTTAACAAGGACTAGCTAGTTGGGTTTAAACATCTGGCTGGTCACGCCTTAGGGTCATCAATTCTCAACTAGGAGAGTGAGCTATAGCGGTAAATAAATCCCTAAAATAAATAGCCTCGTAAGCCACACAAACTTACAAATAACTGACAGACTGACAAGAACCAATGAATTCGTGTGGCCATTAAATATGTATTCTTGTATCTTCGGTATCTTGACCAGTTATTCATCTTTCCAGTTCGTTGGCACTTTTTCTTCGTTCTGAATATTTTTCAATGAATCGTGTAATATCTTTTGACTTTTATTTACCCCTGTCTTCAACGCTTGAACAGGCTTTCTGTTTCTGTATATATTGGAAGTATAATCAGTGATTGAGGATTGAAGTCATAGAAAGTAACTTTCAAGAAATGCGCTACGGTTAGGCATGCAGACGGTTTTGTTCCTACTAAAGTGATATCTGAAGTAGTATTAGCTGTTAAGTTTACGCCTAGTTAAGTCCTCAGTATATAAATCTCATAATGTAAGTAATTCTTCCTAACCTTTAGTGAATTTTAGAAGCGTTAATCAAAACTTCGCCCTATTATTGACCTTTTCATCCAGGAAAGTTTTGTATTTAGTCATTTTGCAAATGTCGGACTCAGACTCATCATGTGTATGTTCTCATTACTAATAGTTTTTAACCGCTAATAGGATGTCCAAGAAATTTTAGCCTGTCCCGGGTTGTATGAAGAAATTACACATGAAAAGAAACATGTATATAATAAGGTAAGTCTCGTGCTACAAAACTTTTTATAGTTTAAAACTTTAAATAATTGTGACTTGTGCATTATGGTACACGGCAATAACGTTTGTGAATACTCTGAGTACGTTCATAGTCCGATCCCAAAAGTTTGCCTAGGAGACTTTACGAACTGTTCATTCCATAGAGTCTGTGTAGTCGGTTGGCTCTAAATAGTTTCTTTCTGGGTACAGGACATATAATGACCGAATTCCCGGCTCACAAAATGTTCCTTTAAATGAGAAGCAAGAAACTTATTTTACAATCACTGATCCTTCATCGTACTATTGCGATTACATCCAACAAAAATGTTTCTTTAACGTCATGAGGAACCGGACAACAATAGTATTTTTTCTGACATAACGATGAGTGTGTGTATGGATTCAATCTAGTAAAATATCTAGACTATTCGTGGCAAATACTTTAGTTGATACATTTTTCGAGGATAAACAGCTGTTGTAAAAGTAGACAGTGTACATGTTTCGAAAATCTGAACAATCGAGGAGAGCATTTGGAAATATTTAAACACAATTATATGAGTGTGAAACTCAAATGTATCACGAGACGTTTAAACGGTAATTGGGATACTTGTAGCACTAAATACATTCTCGAATGATCCAAACCTTTGGTCACAGATTTTCGTAAGTATTGCTCTTATTCGGTCATTATAGTATAAGTTCACTAACTGTTTATCATCCCCCAGCTTTTAAACTTTGTTGAAGATTAACGTAGCAATCTCTTGAAGACCGAGTGGGAAAGTCAATGGTATTGATTACTTTATGACGACATAAGCCTTTACTCAAATTTTCCTAGATACCCGCTAAGTCTTACCATGAGTAATATGGTTGTACGTATGGAAAAGCAACTTCTGCATACCGGTTGGTTACGTGGAAAACCGTTACTGACCGGATCGAAATATGTTTTGGACCTATTCATGTCATGATTCACTCCCTAACACAATAGTAGACAGGAGTACTAATGCAATAGGACTAGGACTGGACAGCAACCCATAAAGTTGTTGTCCGGTCAGAGTACACATTTGTTTCGGGGCCAAACCAATAGCCATTACGAATGACTAAAATCTAGGTCATTTAACGTAAAACCTCTGGGATTGCCTCATAAGCACCTAGATTTTGTTTTTCAAGTATTTAGGATTATATTACTATGCTCCACTTATTCTTCAGTTTACTAGTTTATTAATTCTTTTTTGACTCACAGCTGTTTGTCTCTCGATGTATTGATCTGATATTGATGAATTTTTCAACTTGTCTTCGGGTCGCTTTTCAAGCCTCTTCAATTTTGAAAGTTAATATTCAATTAGTATTAGTGACCTTACTTTTCTTAGGTTGTTTGTTGTCACGAAATAAAAAAAATCCGGAGTGTTTTGTATAATCTTCCCTATCTCAGAGAATTTCGAATTATCAGTCTGTTCCATTCAATTCATTCCAATAAAACTGGTTAATATATCTGAGTGCTAGACAGATTGTGACTGAGCACAAGATTTTTTTTTCTAATTTAGATTATTGGGTGATTATTTCAAGATTTTACTTCTCATTACAACGAACAGTAATGATTATTTAATTTATCAATATAATTTTATTTTCCTTGCAAACTTCCTTTGTGCTTGAACAGTCAGCTCTTATAAATACTCTCAGTAGTATCAGAAAAAGTCTCCCATGGATTGAGCGACTAGATGTCACATGTTCGGCAGCTCCAGCTCAAAAAGATTTAGATTTGGACGACTTACAGCATATCGATCCAGATGATGATTTTAAACGTGAAAACCTTTTGTAAGTTCTATGTAGTTTACAAACGTAATCATTTTTGTTTTGAACTCAAAATTACTCCCATATGATTCACCGTCCTAGGTTTAAGCTACTTTGTATATCAATGATTCGGCTAGTCTCATCAACAGTGAGGCAACAATGTCACATTGAAGCTTGAGGATGACTCTTTGGATTACCATTAACATAATTGCAATGTTGCTCACTGTTCATTGACGTAAGTAAGCACACTAAAACCAAGGAATATCGTCGAAATTCCATTTGTTGTGTTGTGTTTAAACACATACATATATGACTTGTAATTCTTGATTGTACGTTATTTTATTTATTTATTTAAACACATAAACATTTGTACAAGGGGGTACCAGATATATATGCGCTACACTATTGTACGTAATCGACTGATGTGCTTATTTTTAAGATGACGCTCAGAAATCTTCAAAAATACCATATGAGACTAACCACAAGCCGATATCTCTTGAGTTTACAATCACGCCCTCAGATAAGTGACATCAGTATTATCAGTCAATTCTCTTGAAAGATACTTTTCACGTTTGCTGTTGAAGGGCGTTAGTTGTATGCATATATTCAGTATCACTCAACTTCTATTGATCTCCAGTCATCTCTCTCGTGTTTTCAATTTTCTTTGATACAGTTAACATATTTAACACTGCACTATTGATGGTCTGTATTTTAATATAACTATTAACCTATAATTCCAGTAAATAAATACCTAGATAATGTTACACTCGATGGGTACTTCTCATACTTTCTCTTAGTCCCCTCTTTTTAATTAAAATAAGATCGTAACTTTTCAAATGTTTCATAGCCTTCATATATTCTCTCGTCTTTCTTACTTAGTTATCGTGTAGCTCAGTCTGCAGTGCTTAAAGCTATACCTCAATTACACGCTTTAGATGTACCGACTAAACGTCCATCTGATTACTTTGCAGAAATGGTCAAAACAGATGATCACATGACAAAGGTTAGTTTAATTATTGTCATTTCGCAAATAACATAAAGTAGATGACATATAGCTGTACTGTTGGATTTTATCTGTAGACAGACAATATCTTACGCCAAATTTAAATGAATCTTATAAATCTTGGTACTTTTGATCATGAAACACATCCTTAGTTCAAATCTAATATGTGGTTGGAAGGAACCGGTCATATCATCGATTAATTTGATGTTGTGTCAATGATATATCAAATTTTTATTATAATGGATCAGCTTGTGCTAACACATGTGCTTTGTTACGAAACAAAATGCTTAAGTAGAATGTCGACGTCACCGGACAGATATTTACGGCTTTGTTTCAGTTTCAAACATAGATCCTTCTAAATCACATTTCCATTGGCGAAAAAGTCCATTTTCCCAGGTTTGTATGTGGATATGTGTATCCGTCGTTTAGTGTTCTGTAGTTAATCCAAATTTATACACTCACTTGTGACACCTCCACTGAAATCATAACAGTTTAGTTCGTAAATTTATGATGTTTTTTATTTTGCTGTTCCACCCCTTTTATAATCATTGAGTCACCAATTTTTATCCAAGTATTAATCAACAGAAAAACAGTGTTGTCTAACGTTGGGTTATTCATATCAGTTCATAAAGTCACTGGCAATCTGATTGAGCCATGTTAATAGGGATTGACTACTTGTTTGAGGAGACGTTGGCTGACATGGATCAGAACCGTTTACCCTGGCTTGGGTGCATTCACTTGATGCTGATGCTTTGCTTGTTTTATTGTGTTCTAACTGCCGGTATCGTATTACTAACTACTTGAACCCATTAATCGAAATATACGAGTCAGAATAAAGACGTGGTAGATAAAAATTTATTTGATGCCCAAGATAAATCAAATAACTTCCGAATATTTACTTATTTATTTGAACACATAAATATTGGTACAAAGGGGCACCATATACATATGCGCCACACAAATTTCATTTGATTTGTGTATGGGCTGTAATACTGCTCAGGTGCCCAGACCGAAGCAGGTGGTTTTCTTAGGGGGCCATACTCGGAGCCTTTGACCTGAAAGTCTAATCTACAAAGCAGTGGAACAACGTCAGGAGATACAGTCCCACGGTATCTGGTAACCAATAATATGTTCACATGCCATTTGTTCATTCAGGATACTGGAGTTCATGCGCGCTGTTGGTTTGGAACTAGGGTTTTCCAACTCCCCTAAGTGGACCCTCCGTATTCACCAACCCGGTTAAAGTGACGGACATTAGCTTTTCCTCCTCCCAACTTCTTAATGCTGCAAGAAGGCATTGAGTAGAACTTCTGCGGAAGTGGCTGTATACGCATGGCCATGTGAAAGCATTTTTCGAGGTAGAGCTGACTTTTCCTACCCTCTACCGTACCAGGGCATTTGGGATCAACTTCCGAATACAGTTATATTTATATGATTTACACTGATTTATAGTCAGATTTATATACACTAAATTGAGTGGTACTTGACGCTAATTAATAAAGAATTTATCGAGTAATCATAGATGTACAATTTTATAAAATAACCGTCCGTAATCAACAAGTATAACTAATATGATAGCTCTTTGAAATATGGATAAATGTCAGACATGATTGGAAAAGAAATCAATACTTTAAACCATTGACACTCCAATCGAGTAAATCTTTATTCATCATATCAGGTTGTTTAGGTTATAAATATTGATAGATGTTTAAAACGGTCCCTGATAATATTTCAGTTACTAGTTTTAGGAGACTATAATTATAATGAACTGTAAACATCTGAGCGCATCGCTACATATTTTCTTCTCCACTATGCGGCGTTTGCGATTGTTCTATACCAGTGACTACTAACTTTATCTCCTATTAAAATCACTTGGTATTGTTTATTTGAATCTTTCCATTGATGTTTAGGACTGCAACTGGTCAGTCTCTAATTGGCATATGTGCATACTGTGCGTATTGCCCCGATATAGCCCAAAGTGAACATCAACTCTGAAATGCAGGTACATCCAGTTGATGAGTCCCAAATAGGACGAAACGCGCGTCCTGGATTTCACTGCTAGCCACTATCCATCTTTGCTTACTTATCTCCTATTGTTGTATTTGGAGGTTTATAAATTTCGGTGAATAAATAATGCCACAACTGAGGTTAGGAATAACATTTACCGTACTAACGCTTGATGTTGATCTAGTGAATCATCTACTGCTTCATGATTTAATTCAGTGGTGTTTATACATAGTGAAATAGGCCGAATGAAAGGTTAGATAGTGTCGTATTGCAGTTTGTTTGAGGTTAAGCTTAGTTAATATGATTGAATTTTCCTACTTTTGAGTTACAAATCTTTTCCGTAAAACATTAATGCTTAGTCTGTTTAGCAAATATGTGAATTGGCGTCATAAAAACTTCATTTTAAACATATTCCTAGAAGTGTTTGGAAGCTAAACTTTAACTGTTTCATCAACGTTTGCACAGTTTTTTTTTCAATCCTAAATATTTCGCTAAAACTGAATGCACAATGGATTACTTCAAATCTTGTCAATTATTTATCGTACAAACAGTAAATTATTGATTGCACGATACAAAAAGACTGCTCACGTCTGATGTTTTCATAAACTCAAGAGATCGATGGACATCTTAATTTCTCACCTTACAATCCTCGTTAAAATACTTTGAACACTTGAAAAAAGTTATTTCTTCTAATTTTTCATCTTCATAAACAACCTTCCAGCATATCTTTAAATTCCTTAGGAGTTTTCCACATAAAATGTCACATAAAATTCGAATGAGCTCAGTTTGCTTATTGATTGAACAAGTCATGTTATTTCAAGTTTCATCTTGTTTCAATTTTGATTAACTTAAAAATACTACTTACAGATTTACAAGTGTCATTGAATTCACCAATCACTAAACACCGTTGGATACCGGCTCAGTGGTCTATCGGTTAAGTGCCCTGGCGCGAGTGCGGGATCATGGATGCGTACTACTGAGGAGTCCCATAATTGAACGAAACGACCGTCCAGTGCTTCCAGGTTTTCGATGGTGGTCTAGCTTCAATTGACTCATGATTTCAACTCTATAAAATTTAATAAAAACCTTTGAATAGTTCTTTAACTTTTGCACATTAATTTTGTATTTAATTCAATAGGTTAAAAAATATCTAATTGAAACTAAACAAAAATTAGCATTACGTGAACGTGCTAGACAAATAAGAGAACGACGTAAATTTGGTAAACAAGTTCAACAGGCTGTTAATCAAACACGTAAAGAAGGAAAACGTAAACTAACAGAAGCTGTAAAGAGTACATGGAAGAAAACTGGTAAAAATTGTGTTTATTATCATTATTCTCTTTTTATCAATCTTCTTGTTTATTCTTGTCTAAATTTCTATGTGTGCATTGAAGTATCCAATTATTAGGAGAGTTCACATAATCAATTAGACAATAGTTATAGTTTTAGTTAGGTGTTTTGTAGAAATTTACTTAATTTAAAATAAAATATTCATCGTGCTTTGATACTCATTTTAGAGTTTTTGAAAAGTAAACAGTGCTGAACAACTGTGTCGACGTGGTTTTTGCCACTTTTCATCAGCACCCACTTCTCTCTCTCTTCATATATATATATAGTAAAGCCATCAACCAGACTATTAACCCTATCAGTTGCTATGCCTCAACCGAGGCTTCTAATGATGAAGTTAGTAAAGAAAAATTCTATCCTAAGCTCAAAGACACAATTAAGAAATGTAAACTAAATAAACTTCCCACACTCATGCTGGGAGACTATAATTGCAGGATAAGCCAGGACCTTCACACTTACTACCCTAACATCGTAGGAAAATCCAATAATCTTGAACCGGAAACGTCAGCGAATGGCATAAGACTAATAAACCTATGCGAAACATTAAGTCTGAGAGTAATGAATACGTTCATTACTAAACCAGAACACAAGACTTATACCTGGGTACATCCTAAGACCCAAATGGGACATGTTATAGATCTAGCGATAATAGAAAATAATTCGAAACTATTGGTCTGTGATATTCATAATAGCCGTTCTATGGAAGCTAACACAGATCATTATATGGTTACAACCACACTGAAGCTAAAATATCTAAATAATAATAAAACTTCTAATGCTAAGAATAAGCCCAAAATAAGACAACGTGAGGCGATTCACGCCTTGACTCCAGATTATCCAAAGATACTAATTACCCTACTTCAAAATAAATATAATCTAAATCAGGTAGAAGAAGCCACATTACAAGCAGCTAACAAAGCTGCTATCCCATATAAGTCAGCCATCAAGAGATGGCAGCATAACATAAGTAATCTCTTAAAAGAAGAGATTAAACATAGAGGACAATTAAGACTAAAGTGGCTAAATAACCCTACAGCTGCTAATAAAAACCTATATATGCAAGCTAGTAAAATAGTAAGAAACAAGATTAGGTTAGCTAAAGACCAATATATTAAAGATAGAATAAATGAGATGAACTCATACTTTAAGAAACATGACTTACACTTAGCATATAAAATGCTAGATGATATATTGGCTGCTATACGGAATCACTCATACAAGGCTAAAAGAACTAATCAAGTTAAAGACAGTGATCTTCAATATCACTATCAAAACCTATTTAATGCTAAACAAAACCAAGATGATATTAAATTGCCGGAAAGAGCCACCAATGATCCTGAACTTACTCCAGATGAAATAAAGCTAGGTTTGAGAAAAATGAAAAATCAAACTACGCCTGGTAGTAATGGCATCACTAGTGAAATGATAAAGCATGGTGGTGATAAACTAACTAGCATACTACTGAAAATTATGAACCAGATATGGAGAAATCCATGCACTTTGCCAGATCACTGGCTAGATGCAGATGTGATAAGCATGTACAAAAATAAAGGATTAAGATCAGATCCAAACAACTACAGAAGTATCTTTCTACTAGATACATTAGGAAAGCTATTTGCAGGCATAGTCTGTAATAGACTTGTCCAGCTAACAGATAGCTATCTTCCAATAACTCAATTCGGTTTTAGGAGAAATCTATCCACAATTCAAGCAATAACAACCTTATATATAACAACCTTACATATAATTCAATCCTCCCTAGATACAAATAGTACTATAGTCCTCACCTTTGTGGACTTAACTAAGTCATCAACATATTTCAAGTGCTTAATTGTCCAGGTTTTATTATGCTGATCTTTTAGGGTAACTCCTTTTAAAGTTTTATTTATTGTATGTTCTAATATATTTTGAACGACTAAGTTAAAGATAGCCGGACCTTCTTTACTATCCTGTCTTACTCCCCTATGCATTGTGAATCTTAGTTCTGTGTTTCTTAGATAACTCTTAGGGTCATCTAATAGTTTAGTTATGCAGGAGTTTATATTGTTTGATGGACATATTTTAGTTAGGCGATCTAGGATTATTTGTTTAGGTATCGTATCAAAAGCTTTAGTTAAGTCCACAAAGGTGAGGACTATAGTACTATTTGTATCTAGGGAGGATTGAATTATATGTAAGGTTGTTATATATAAGGTTGTTATTGCTTGAATTGTGGATAGATTTCTCCTAAAACCGAATTGAGTTATTGGAAGATAGCTATCTGTTAGCTGGACAAGTCTATTACAGACTATGCCTGCAAATAGCTTTCCTAATGTATCTAGTAGAAAGATACTTCTGTAGTTGTTTGGATCTGATCTTAATCCTTTATTTTTGTACATGCTTATCACATCTGCATCTAGCCAGTGATCTGGCAAAGTGCATGGATTTCTCCATATCTGGTTCATAATTTTCAGTAGTATGCTAGTTAGTTTATCACCACCATGCTTTATCATTTCACTAGTGATGCCATTACTACCAGGCGTAGTTTGATTTTTCATTTTTCTCAAACCTAGCTTTATTTCATCTGGAGTAAGTTCAGGATCATTGGTGGCTCTTTCCGGCAATTTAATATCATCTTGGTTTTGTTTAGCATTAAATAGGTTTTGATAGTGATATTGAAGATCACTGTCTTTAACTTGATTAGTTCTTTTAGCCTTGTATGAGTGATTCCGTATAGCAGCCAATATATCATCTAGCATTTTATATGCTAAGTGTAAGTCATGTTTCTTAAAGTATGAGTTCATCTCATTTATTCTATCTTTAATATATTGGTCTTTAGCTAACCTAATCTTGTTTCTTACTATTTTACTAGCTTGCATATATAGGTTTTTATTAGCAGCTGTAGGGTTATTTAGCCACTTTAGTCTTAATTGTCCTCTATGTTTAATCTCTTCTTTTAAGAGATTACTTATGTTATGCTGCCATCTCTTGATGGCTGACTTATATGGGATAGCAGCTTTGTTAGCTGCTTGTAATGTGGCTTCTTCTACCTGATTTAGATTATATTTATTTTGAAGTAGGGTAATTAGTATCTTTGGATAATCTGGAGTCAAGGCGTGAATCGCCTCACGTTGTCTTATTTTGGGCTTATTCTTAGCATTAGAAGTTTTATTATTATTTAGATATTTTAGCTTCAGTGTGGTTGTAACCATATAATGATCTGTGTTAGCTTCCATAGAACGGCTATTATGAATATCACAGACCAATAGTTTCGAATTATTTTCTATTATCGCTAGATCTATAACATGTCCCATTTGGGTCTTAGGATGTACCCAGGTATAAGTCTTGTGTTCTGGTTTAGTAATGAACGTATTCATTACTCTCAGACTTAATGTTTCGCATAGGTTTATTAGTCTTATGCCATTCGCTGACGTTTCCGGTTCAAGATTATTGGATTTTCCTACGATGTTAGGGTAGTAAGTGTGAAGGTCCTGGCTTATCCTGCAATTATAGTCTCCCAGCATGAGTGTGGGAAGTTTATTTAATTTGAGCTGCCTAATTGTATTTTTAAGTTTAAGATAGAATTTGTCTTAATTGATATCTTCACTAGAAGACTCAGTTGGGGCATAGCAGCCAATAAGGTTAATGGTTTGGTTAGTGGCTACACTATGTATTTTAATGGCGGCTTGTCTTCCGTCTATCTCTTTAAAGTCAGTGGCAGTAACCATTGAGTGGTTATTAATGACACCGGTGTTCCGGTATTCCTTGTTGTCTGGGTCGCAGTTATAGAGGGTCGCAGTATTATCTATTTCGATGGTTTTGAAGACCATCCTAGTTTCCGTGATCACTGCTATGTGGTAATTGTGTTCGACAATTTGTTCTACTATCTGTTGGAGTTCGCTCTCTTGTGAACAACCCCGGACATTCCATAAAGCGAATTTAAATTTTTAGAAATTTTTAGCATTTCTTTGGTCTTTTTGGCTCCAGTAAAAATTGTGCAATGCTTCTTTGTAGCTTTCGTAATCAGTGGGTGGGTATAGGCAGAGAGTGTGATCAGACCGGTCTCCACCACCCGGGTTACCGCTTACGTTAGCTCATGGAAACAGTCCCATGATCCAGGAGGCACGACGAGGACGTGTGGGTCGGACTTCGCCTCCCCTCCTTGTGGTAATTTATCTGACACCTGTTGCTTCAAACTACGAAAATAACATTAACAGGATCGATAGGCCACGCTTTAACGGTCTGTATTCGTACTGAAAATCAAAATCAAGTAAGCCTTTCCCTGTTACTATACGCCAGGTTTCTGTCCTGACTGAGCTCACCATAGAAAATCCGAGTCACCATTTGACTGATGTATATATATATATATATATATATATATATATATATATATATATTAGTATAAACCAAAGGATCGAGGAATTACAGTGGTTTCTCGTTTTCAAGTACAAGTAATAGTGGGGACGCAAATATATCAGTTGGCCACCCAATTACAACAGTTCAGATGGAACCAATTTCTCCAATTATAACAAATATATACTTTATTCACTGATACCTTTCCCTCAATTCTTTAGCATTCATCAGCTTACTGATTTTTAATCAAAATACATAAATATTGCAAGTAATTGATAGCTATGTCGTCGTAATATGAAGTTCCTCGACTGTGCACACAGAACTGGTGGAGTCCAAATGTCTAGAATTAAACAGTTGTCATTAATATCAATGGGTAGTTGTCGCACCACATCTGAAATTGTTCAATTGGATGTTGACCTAGTGTTGGTGATCGTCAAGCTTTTGCCATGAGATCCGAAATTCTCGGGTTCGATTCCTGGAATCAATCGTATGTGTGCATTGCTAAGGAGTCTCATACTAAGAGAAAACGGTTGTTCAGAGCTCCCTGGATCTTAGTGGTAATTTAAGTATAACTGATTTGTGACAAATACAACTTACAAACTAAATCATTCTTCATATAATCACTTTAATTGGTTAACTTGTCAATTATTTATGCAAACTTATTTTCTTGCCCTCTGTAGCAAAATCGTAATAAGAGAGACATGAATATGAATGATTTAGTTATTTAACAATTATTCGATGAAAATATACTCATAGTATTGGTCCATAAATGGATCCTGAGTGTTACCATTCATTATTCCTATCGGGATATATTTATTTATTTAATCACATAAATATTGGTACAAAAAAGCACCAGATAAATATGCGCCTCACAAATCTCATTCGATTTGTGTGAGGGCTGTGATACTGACCAGGTGCCCAAACTGAAGCAGGTGGTTTTCTTAGGGGACCACACACGGAGCCTTTGACCTAAAGATCTAGTCCACAAGGCAGTGGAGCATCGTAAGGAGATGCAGTCCCATGGTAGTCGGTGACCAACAACTGGTTCATACGCCATTTGTTCCCTCAGGATACTGGAACCAGCCCATGTGCACCATTGGTTTGGAATCAGGGTTTTCCAACTCCCCTAGGTGGATCCTCCACATCCACCAACCCGGTTAAAGCGCCGGACATTCGCTTTTCGTCCTCCCACTTTTGTGAACAACACCTTCGCCATGAGAAGGCAGTGAGTAGGACTTCCCTGACAGAGGCTATATATTCTCGTGGCCATATGAGAGCATTTCAAGAGGGAGAGCAGACTCTCCCCACTCTCGGCCGTACCAGGGCATTTGGGGGTATCGAGATATAACACCGATACACTGGTACATATGTATTCATCGAAGCGCTCTTCAATCCCATCGCCAGATGTAGTATGGTAATTGTATGCTCATATATATGTCTTCATTCATAACTGTTTATGAACTGAAAAATGTGTGTTTATTGAACTTAATTTTTCACTCTGTTTGAGCAACTTTCATTCCCTCTTATTCAGAAGATGTAATTCGACCGACTATACAAATATATATATATATATATATATATATATATATATACAGGAATTTTAATATACTATAGTTTAGAAGTGGGGGTGTTGTTCACGAAAGTGAGAGGACGAAAAGCGAATGTCCGGCGCATTAACCGAGTTAGTAGATGTGGAGTGTCCACTTAGGGGAGTTGAAAAACCCTGATTCCAAACCAATGGTGCACATGGGCTCCGGTATCTTGAGGGAACAAAAGGCGTATGAATCAATTGTTGATCGCCGGCTACCATAGGAATGCATCTCTTTACGATGCTCCACTGCCTTGTGGACTAGACCTTTAGGTCAAAGGCTCCGTGTGTGGTCCCCTAAGAAAACCATCTGCTTCAGTTTGGGCACCTGGTCAGTATCACAGCCCTCACACAAATCGAATGAGATTTGTGAGGCGCATATATATTTGGTGCATCTTTGTACCAATATTCATGTGTTTAAATAAAATATATTCAGGAAATTGAATATACTATCGTTTAGATGTTGCACACACATAGTGCCTTTTGATGAATCTTTCTACTCATATTGTTTGTTATAATATTGATAGGAATTAATCGTGAAGAGAAACTGGAACAAATATTAAATGAATTTAAAAAAGATTATGAATCGAAAAATGATAAATCTAATGTGAAAGGATCATCATCATCATTGAAAAGTTTTCATACAGCAAAAGATTATGCAAATCGACGAAAGTAAGCAAGTATTTTCCTTATCCTTATGTGTTTTTTTTAAATTTCTTATTTATCATGAGTCACTTGAAGCTAGAACACAATGGAAAACCTGTAAGCACTAGAAGGCCGTTTCGTCCAGGCATTGGACTCCTCAGCAGTGCGCACCCAGCTACAATTAAATCATGAATTCAATCATTAAATTGTTGTCTTTCTGCTAAAATAATCTATCATGATTAAGTAGTAAAGTAAAGATAACAGCTATTCTTAGTCAATATAACTGATTAGAATGCGAAAAAAATCAAAACATTCTTTAAATCTGGTAAGCAAAAATGGATAGTGGCTAGCAGTGGGATCCACTTTGACGTGCGTTTCGTCCTATTTAGGACTCGTCAGCTGGGTGTGCCTGCATCTCAGAGTTGTTGATGTTCACTCTGGGACTCGAACCTAGTACCTTTCGTTTCAAACGCCATCGTGTTATCTCTAAATCTAACCAAAATTTTCATGTTTACCTATTATCGATTATTATGATATCCCATTATCATAGACAATTATCACTCACCAGCGGTAAAAGCCACAACAAACAATCTAAACAATGGTAACAACATATACCAGTCTAATGGTACTTCATTCAACAGAAGGTTATATATATATATATATATATACTGTAAATGGTTCGACAATGAATAATTATTAATTTAGGTTAAATAAAAACACATCCATGTGAATAAATTCATCATAAACAGTCAACTCTCAGCGCAAACGAGCATAAACAATGACCTGTTCAGTATGACCAGATAGATAATAAGTATACCAACTAATAAAAGAGTAGCCTTTTGTTAATCAATGGAAAATGGTGATCCGACGTCGATCGATTCATGATCCCAATGAAAAATTCAACAATCTCCACAACCTCATACTAAAATATTTATGATAAAAAAGTAGTTGCTCACAAGTAAATGTAGTTATTTGTCTGAATGTTGATAACTACTTTCAAGAGGAGGAGCAGATTAGTATTTTTGCATTCCTGTATGTTATATTCCATCCCCGTCGCCAGTTGTTATATCGTGTGAGTGCGCACACTGTTTAGTATATGAACGTGGTGATTCCCGCCAAACAGAGAGAAGTGAATTTATTGATCGCTCAATGATACACAAAAGCGTTATGAGCAGTCTTGAGTACTTATCAGTTCTGCTTTCTGCCTAGCCCAGTCAGTTAAGTCCAGAACACTAATAACAGCCTCTGCAATATGAATCATTATTCTCAAACATACTGGGTTTATATAGCAAACAGACAGACCACATCGTACCAATAAAATAGAAAATAACAGTTGTACAAGAATTAGCCAAATGTGGCTGTGAATAGGGAGAACAGTAATCAATAGACTGAGGATAACTCAGGTATGGTACATCGTATAACAATAGTCTATAGGTCAAAATAAAGCTTATAATAAGAGGGCCCCCAAATGCCCTGGTACGGCCGAGAGTGGGGAGAGCCTACTCTCCCTCTCGAAATGCTCTCACATGGCCAGCGAATATATAGCCTCTGTCAGGGAAGTCCTACTCACTGCCTTCTCGTGGCGGGGGTGTTGTTCACAAAAGTGAGAGGACGAAAAGCGAATGTCCGGCGCTTTAACCGGGTTGGTGGATGTGGAGGATCCACCTAGGGGAGTTGTTAAACCCTGATTCCAAACCAATGGTGCACATGGGCTCCAGTATCCTGAGGGAACAAATGGCGTATTAACCAATTGTTGGTCACTGGCTACCATGGGACTGCATCTCCTCACGATGCTCCACTGCCTTGTGGATCAGACCTTTTGGTCAAAGGCTCGGGGTGTGGCCCCTAAGAAAACCACCTGCTTCGGTTTGGGCACCCGGGCAGTATCACAGCCCACACACACAATAGTGTGGCGCATATGTACCTGGTGCCCTTTTGTACCAATATATATGTGTTTAAATAAATAAATATAATAAGAGGGACACGAATATGAATAGTTTAGTTGCTTAACAATTATACAATAGGAAATATATGTATCATATTGGTCCATAAACAGTCCTCAAAATTTACCATTCATGAATCTCCACGGGATATAACAATGTAAGTAGCGAAAAGGAATAATGGACAATATATTTTCCAATAAAAAACTGTTCCTGTCTTTCAGATTGTTATATCTAAGGCGTTTCGAATTCACTAGTTAGGGAACGGAACAAAGACTTGACCAATAAGCTAGCTATTCTGACGCGTTCCAGATCCAAGCTAACTAGAGTAAGAAGTCCAAGTTGGAAGCGGGGAAAATATATTCTGTAGTAGCCAGAAGCACATCAATCATAAGGGGAAAAAATCAAACGTATATATATACAGCAATAAATTGTCCTTGGGCAGCATTACAAAATAGCGCACTTAAAAAAAACAATGGACTAATAGCGTTTAAGATAGTTTACAAGCAGGAAATTCGACCCGAAGGTGAAAAGAGCGCTTTTTGGCGCGAAAACAAACAAATTCAAATTTTCAAAATAAAATTACAAAATTAAGCCATTTATCAAGTAAGTTCTGGAGATTTAACATCCTCAACACAGATTATTTTATATTTCAGAGGGGTTTAGCGGAGAATTAAGTATTTTCACAATTGAAATCATTAGTCAATTGAAGCTAGACCACCATGGAAAACCTGGAAGCACTGGACGGCCGTTTCGTCCTATTATGGGACTCCTCAGCAGTGAGCATCCACGGTTAAGGGATCTGGCTCAAGACTGGTAGGTCCTGGGTTCGAATCTCACGAGTGCGGGATCGTGGATATTTTATATTTGTACATTTTTCACATTTTAGAATTAATCAAAAACGTGTTTATAAAAATAATAAATACGGTCATGGTGGACAGAAAAAACGTCAAAAACGTAATACATCTGAATCAGTTAATATTGGAGCTCGACGTGATTTCAGTCAATTAAAACATCAAGCAACTCCAAATAAAGCTAAACAAATTCGTTCAAATAATCGTAAATTAAAACAAAAACGTAAGAAAATGACAAAAAGACGTGGTTAACATGAGACCATAGACTTTGTATATTTCTCACTTGTAAAAATCATATAAAATGAATGTGTATTCAATCTGCTCTTTTGTCTTTTCGAATGTTAAAAGCATGAACTTCAGCGAACGGATCTCTTTTCAATGAATTTATTATCAAGCTGTTAGTGTATTAGTTCCGTAAGGACATATGAATAAGGTATGAACACCGATTACCAGGACGCGCTATGCTGACTAGTATTGGGAATGGTTAGAAGAAAGTTAGGGACGGCCAAACCAAAACGTGGCATCAGTGCTTGAAGTCACTAATGTCTAGTCTGAGCCATGTTGGCAGATGCAGTATACTCGGTTGGGGTCCGCGTGATCATCGTAACCAATGGTTGGAGACTCTTTGTGACATGGTTCAGAATCGATCACAATGGTGTCGGTGTATACACTCTTTATCTTCCCTTAAACTTTGAGATTAAAATTGCTTCATAACTTTCTTCCTTTCTATACTATATCCTCATATACAACCTATCTTTTATATATTACCACCACTAAATTAACGACTTCTACAAATCCAGTGTTGAACTTATTGTGCTAACGAGGTATGGCAACTTGGACCGATGCATATATGTGTCTAGTCCTACGTTGTAGCTGACTGACTATGAACAAGGAATAACCATCATGATGTAATAGAAAGATTACAATACTAGTTTACGTAATAAGATTAATAACAATAGACTTAATAAGTTAGTAACGAATTATAATGTGATTACAGTAAGATGATTAAAATGTTTTTTCTTACAATAATTAAAGGTAATATAGATATGAAGAATAAATGAAGTGATATCATGAACAATAATGAGTAAATCAGAAGGGGTGTTTGTGGAGATTTCGGTATTTACTTAGTTGAAATCATTAGTCAATTGAAGCTAGACCATCATGAAAAACCTGGAAGCACTGGACGGCCGTTTCGTCCTATTATGGGACTCCTCAGCAGTGCGCATCCACGATCCCGCACTCGCGAGATTCGAACACAGAAGTTACCAGTCTCGCGCCAGAGGTCCTGAGTTTGAATCTCGCAAGTGCGGGATCGCGGATGCGCACTGCTGAGGAGTCCCATAATAGGACGAAACGATTGTCCAGTGCTTCCAGGTTTTCCATAGTGGTCTAGTTTCAATTGACTTGTGATTTCAACTATGAAAATAATGAATAAAATCATGAGAATATGAGACATAAGTAAAGGAAGAAATGCAATAATAAAGATATCGATAGGACCTACTTCTTTGTACGCATAATTTCGGCTTGAACTCATGGATTATAAGCGGCTCTGCTATTTGAGGAGTTGTATACAAAGAAATCTAGGTAGATTTGGACGAATCGTATACACAACCTTACAATCAACCTGTGGATCAGTTGAATGATTAGATGTTGAAGAATAGAACCATAACTGCTTTCCTATCACCCTTGTAGAATGACATTGGGACATGTTCCCGTATCTGAGATGAAGGCTAGCGCTGGCTATGGTCAATGTACCTTGCCTCATAAGAGCAGGTGAATTGGTAAATGCATATGGAGGTGACAAGATGGGGAAAACTTATCCGTTATGGATACAGAAAACAGGTTCCTGCTAGTGAACGTTATTCGCAGTTTTTTTTATCGCTGCCGTTAAACGATTTTTAGTTACATCAGATGTTCGGTTACCGTTGAATTCTAGATGTATGTAAAGGTATTTTCTTGAAATAGAAAAATCTGATTCTTTGTCACAACTTCTTTTCATATTCTTATCTATGAAGTGGTTTGGATAGCCGTTTTCCTGAAGAATGCGAGCTCTTCGTCAATACATTCGGTACCATATATCCGGTGTTATTTGTAACATATAGATTGGATAACATTCCTCCTTCTGCTTAGAGAAATCCAGCTATAGAAGTTGGTCATTCCATATTTGTTTTCTAAAAATGGATATTTTTAAGGAACCATCACTCCTCATCAGTAGTACATCGAGAAAAGAGATTGAGTTAGCTCATTTTCTAACTCGAATTCTATGGAAGGGAATGTAAAATATCCGCTACTTCAATATTATCGTCACAAATGTGTCGTCTATGTATCTTAGGTATAGATTAAATCGAACTAAGTTTGTTGTTTTCTAGTTTTGCCATAAAACAGTCTGTTAAGATTGGACCCAATGGAGATCTCATCTCTTCGTCTATGTATTTTATTGTTGAAACTGGATTGGACATTAAAGGTACAGTGTAACAATAGTTCTTTCAAGTGATCAGTCAGCAGACCTAAATCTGTGTTGTTATGATCAATATACTCACATAAATGGCATTTTTTAAAGTTCAAGGTACATTAGTGAACAGGTAACTAATGTCAAGCGAGAACAAGAGTTTCCCAGTAGTATTAGCGTCCTTACTATTGTCAATAAATTGAAAAGTATCACAAACAGAATATTTAGATACTTGCATTCTAACTGGTCTCAATTTTTCAGTCAATTATTGGGAAATCTGGCGTTGTGGTGAATTCGACGCGGTGATTCGCCTGCATCATGATGATTCGTTACTAACTTATTAAACCTATTGTTATACTTATTACGTAATCTAGTATTGTAATCTTTCTATTACATCATGATGGTTATTTCTTATTCATATGTCCTCATGGAACTAGTATTTTAACAGCATGAGAATAAGTTCGTTGGAAAGATATCTCGTTGAACTTCCTGTTTTTAATGTTTAAATGGGAATTAAATTTCAATTTTCTAATGTTCACAAGTTTTTTGACGGCTTAATATCATATGGCAGTCTGCTAAAACTTAGTATAAACAGTAGTCTATATGTAAGGTGGTTTTAGAGGTAGTCGGTAGGAAAGCCTGCTGCACCAAGTTTTCGTACTACCTAACACTTGTAAGCAAAGCACAACTAAAACTACGAAGGAACTGATGATTCTTGTGGGATCCGAACCAGCATTACAATCTGAGACCCCTTTCACGAACTGTCTGGGCAGAGATGTTAATAACTGACAAGTGACTAATGACATGTTTGTCTAAACCTTATTACCGACCGAATTTTATCTGCCAATTTGTGGTGTACGAACTAGAGGTTCAACATTGCGTCCACTACTTTTTGATGTTGGATATTGTTAACAGAAAAATCTGAGATTTAGGCATTGCGCTGGTTGGTATTCACCAGCAAAGCGCATCTGCAATCTTGATTTTTAACCATTAATATCGAGAATGTTCCATTTACTTCTGTTTAGGTAGTCCCATATTATAATTAGGCAAATAAATGGAGATAGGAGACTTCGCACGCTACTCTCTGATAAATCAACGTACCCATTGTCAGTGCGTGGTTAGTAAAATGTTAACTTATAGTATTCTAATGTTCTAATCGTAAGCTACTTTCTTTCTTCAATCAGAAATTACTGTTTACTAATCGTAAACTAATAGTTAGGTTCGTATCACAAAGATCTTACGTATATGCATTTTGTGACTGACTATTTATGGTGTGTATGAGCTAGTGTTGAATGTATATATATGAATGATATGCATCTCAAGTGTAATAATAACAGAATAGTCCAAGGAACTTATCTGATCTTCATGATCTGAAGAACGAATTAAAACATTGTGTAGGTTATAGATCGCTTCAACATATAAATTAACTATATCAAGGAGCTAATAGCTAGTAGGACATACATAGAGATTAAATCATAACATCATGCAGCACCATTACGCCTCATGGTCAAAGTGAAGAAGTTCCATGATTCACATAAGTAACTAAATCATAAAAAGTATGTCAGATTAGAAACAAACCATGAAAGACAGAACAAAACAAAGGTCACTTATTAAACTGATGCATTTTCTTATTTAAGATATGTAAGGATGGCTCGTTGATAAACTCAAGGAGCCCAGAAAGAGCCGAAGACATTCCATCCAATCACTGCTAGGGTAATATTCTAGAATGTCGACGTGAAGCTATCCCTATTGGATGGATAAGAATGACCCCCTCTGTGCCTATTGATTGTCCGAAATGATGATTTACTCTAAGCCAAAAACTATAAATACATGAGATTTCTGTACTATATTTTGACATTGTTTTGGGGAATAAAGTTCCTACTTACTAGTCTTCTGTCTTATTTCTTGCGACGTTCGATCGTTCTAGTAGTACGCGACATAGTAAGAATCAAAGCTCTAGATAGAACAACTGACGACGGTGTTAATTTATCAAAATGTCTATCACATTTGATCAATTTGAAACTTTTCTAGAGCGCCATGAAAAACGTTTCGAACAGTTGCAGATTTGTATACTTGAAACACTAACCCAGCAAATGAACTACAACAAGATAATACATTATTTTTTTTATTCTCTTAATTTTCAATGTACAAAAGAGGCCAAACACAAAGATTTGTACAATTGTCAGTTGACTACGAATGGTTAATAATTATTCAGTTAATTGAAAGTATTATGGTGAAAGAGTCATCTGTTACTTGAATAATAATTTTTTCTTTAAAGAGTAAGGACGTAAAATGATGTAGATATAGGTTGAACGAGGAAGTGTTTGATTCAAAAAAAAAGAACAATTCAGATACTGAAATAGATCCTGTAGGATACACGAAAATCTTGGATATATCTACACATAACAAAAAGATAGGGAAAAAAACACATCTGATGATGTACTTTATGCATTTCTATTAGATTGTAAAGAATTTTAATAAAAAAAACTTGGGTTCAACATTCCAGGAATAGATTTAGAACTTGAAATGATACTTCAAATGATGTTTGCGTCTATATTCTAGTGACAGCTTAGTCAAAAAAATTATGTGTTTTTAGCTAATTGGAAAAGGGAAAAAATACAACAGAAAACGTGAAAACTAGGACATATAACTTAGTGATCGAGTGGATAACGCGATGGTGTTTGAAGCGAAAAATACTGGGTTCGAGTCCCAGAGTGAACATCAACATCTCTGAGATGTAGGTACATCCAGCTGACCAGTCCCAAATAAGACGAAACTCGCATCAAACTGGATTCCACTGCTAGCCACTATCCATCTTTGCTTACTATGCTTGTGAATTTAGGCTATATCGAGGCAATACGCACATATGCCAATTAGAGACTGACCAGTTGCAGTCCTAACACACATCGATGGGAAGAATCAAACAAACAATATTAAATGAATTCATATAACTAGATGTTTAGAAACTGATATAAATGTTGGTATTTGTCAGGATATTCACAGGAATATCCCAAAAATTATCTCGAATGTAAAGTGGTATGTTTTTAGACTCTTCACATAATTCGCATGTTATTTCCTATTGGCCATTATTTACAGTTGTCCTAACTATGACTTTCACGTGTCGTTTTCCTATTGGTCAATTTTGAGTTGTCCTAATTATAACCTTTACACGTCCTTCCTTTCCATTGGTTACTGTTAATAGTCATCTTAACTGTATAAATATGTCTTGTCTGTAAACCATATTTGTTCTGCTGCTGACCCCATAAACAATTCTCATTTAACGGCTGTGTTCTGATTTATTGGAGTTGGGGAACAGTATTGGGGTCGAACTAGGATATATGAATTTGATCAGTCGGTAGAATTTCGTGTAGTCCTATCGCAATACGTAATATTTGGGCAATTTATAACAATTTGGCGACGGAGATTTTGCAAACAAGTTGCTGACTAGCTATGGATCCAGTTAAATTAGAAGAATTGTTCAAACAACAGCTGAAGCTGATGGAGATGTTTACTCAGACGCAGATCTCTTCTCGAGTCTCATGTACACCAACAATCCCTCAATCAGTCGACGGTATTACCAGTGGTATTTCAGAGTTTCTTTATGATCCTGATGCCAATATTAAATTTGATACCTGGTTCATACGTTATGAAGATCTTTTTAAAGTCGACCTTGCTGACAGAGATGATTCGTGGAAGGTGCGTCTTCTCCTTCGAAAACTTGGTCCATCAGAGCTTGATAAGTATTGCAACTTCATTCTACCGCAGAACCCACGAGACCGTTCCTTCTATGCCACTGTTCAAACTCTCAGACAACTTTTTGGTGACCATCATTCACTTTTCAATACTCGCTATCACTGTTTAAAACTGGTCATGAACGAGTCCGATGACTTCCTAACCCATGTTGGCATTGTCAACCGTGAGTGCGAACGGTTTAAGCCCAAATCCCTTACCGACGACCAATTCAAATCCCTCGTATTCATATGTAGTCTTCAGTCACCCAAATTCTCCAACATCAGAACTCGATTGCTGAACCGCCTTGAACAAGATCCAACGCTGACACTCAATGCAATCGCCGACGAGTATCAACGCATTGTCAACCTGTAGCGTGACACCACTTTGGTCCAATCTGGGGGCCAGGGTGGTTCCGAAGTTCACGCTGTCCAACGTCCGAACAAATCTCCGAGATCGACAACCTGTAGTCCTACGAAAGCCAGTGCTCCTTCTTTCTCTAATCACTCCAGATCGGTTCAGAAGAAGCCCCCCTCTCCATGTTGGCACTGTGGAGCTTGGCATTACGTGAAATTTTGTCCATTCAAACAGCAGGTGTGCGATCGCTGTCATAAAGTTGGTCACAAAAGCGGTTTTTGCCAATCCCATCGACCCAATAGCCGTCGAAATGCACAGACGCAACGTCGTTATACTAAAAAGCAGCTTCCCTCATCAAGGAGTTTAGCAACAGTCTTTCACACTCATGCCGCCACGCGACGCAAATTTCTAACCCTCTCAATCAATGGTCAGCCAGTTCGATTGCAGTTGGACACTGCATCAGATATCACTATTCTGTCGAAAGATACTTGGCGAACCTTGGGTCAACCTCCCATCAAACCATCTTCGCAGACAGCCGTTATTGCATGTGGTGGTCATCTCCGCTCTCATGGTGAACTTAATTGCTGTATTTCGTTCAGAGATACAACCTTCAATGGAACGTGCTACATCACCAAATCTCTCAACCTTCTGGGTTTAGATTGGTTCGAAGAACTTGGTCTTGCCAATCTTCCTATCAGCACTGTCTGTAATCAAGTACAAACTCCTGCTACTACACAACAGCATACTTCAGACCTCCAAAATCGATTCATCGAACTCCCCCAGCCTGGATGGAAGCTACGAACAGTCCATAGTGCGATGGCACCCAGGCGAGTAACACGGCAGAGTCCTCGAATGCTGAACATTCGAATTCCCTACAAAGTTGGTGCGAAAGTGTATGTGCGGGACTATAGACATGGGTATGATAGATGGTGAAGTCGCAAAGAGACAGGGGAAGGTCATGTATGAGGTCAGAGTAAACCAAGAAATCTGGACCAGGCATCATAATCAACTACGGCCAAGAGATACCAAAGAAAAAGTTGGAATTATTAACCGAGTTCCTAACACCTCTCCTTGGAAAAAATTATTAGCGACGCAACCGTGGGTTTACCTGACAGTTCTTTGGTTTTCTTCGTTTGCGCTTTGACCTCCTTCGAGGTAACGACCAAGAACCTGAAGAATGTTCTGCTTGATTAGACGACTCAGTTGCCTCCGTTGTAGGCATCGGCGGAAGTTGAAGAGTATCTAGCAGTAAGTCGAGGGGAATTCGGTTAATAATTCCAACTTTTTCTTTGGCATCTCTTGGCCGTAGTTGATTATGATGCCTGGTCCAGATTTCTTGGTTTACTCTGACCTCATACATGACCTTCCCCTGTCTCTTTGCGACTTCACCATCTATCATACCCATGTCTATAGTCCCGCACATACACTTTCGCACCAACTTTGTAGGGAATTCGAATGTTCAGCATTCGAGGACTCTGCCGTGTTACTCGCCTGGGTGCCATCGCACTATGGACTGTTCGTAGCTTCCATCCAGGCTGGGGGAGTTCGATGAATCGATTTTGGAGGTCTGAAGTATGCTGTTGTGTAGTAGCAGGAGTTTGTACTTGATTACAGACAGTGCTGATAGGAAGATTGGCAAGACCAAGTTCTTCGAACCAATCTAAACCCAGAAGGTTGAGAGATTTGGTGATGTAGCACGTTCCATTGAAGGTTGTATCTCTGAACGAAATACAGCAATTAAGTTCACCATGAGAGCGGAGATGACCACCACATGCAATAACGGCTGTCTGCGAAGATGGTTTGATGGGAGGTTGACCCAAGGTTCGCCAAGTATCTTTCGACAGAATAGTGATATCTGATGCAGTGTCCAACTGCAATCGAACTGGCTGACCATTGATTGAGAGGGTTAGAAATTTGCGTCGCGTGGCGGCATGAGTGTGAAAGACTGTTGCTAAACTCCTTGATGAGGGAAGCTGCTTTTTAGTATAACGACGTTGCGTCTGTGCATTTCGACGGCTATTGGGTCGATGGGATTGGCAAAAACCGCTTTTGTGACCAACTTTATGACAGCGATCGCACACCTGCTGTTTGAATGGACAAAATTTCACGTAATGCCAAGCTCCACAGTGCCAACATGGAGAGGGGGGCTTCTTCTGAACCGATCTGGAGTGATTAGAGAAAGAAGGAGCACTGGCTTTCGTAGGACTACAGGTTGTCGATCTCGGAGATTTGTTCGGACGTTGGACAGCGTGAACTTCGGAACCACCCTGGCCCCCAGATTGGACCAAAGTGGTGTCACGCTACAGGTTGACAATGCGTTGATACTCGTCGGCGATTGCATTGAGTGTCAGCGTTGGATCTTGTTCAAGGCGGTTCAGCAATCGAGTTCTGATGTTGGAGAATTTGGGTGACTGAAGACTACATATGAATACGAGGGATTTGAATTGGTCGTCGGTAAGGGATTTGGGCTTAAACCGTTCGCACTCACGGTTGACAATGCCAACATGGGTTAGGAAGTCATCGGACTCGTTCATGACCAGTTTTAAACAGTGATAGCGAGTATTGAAAAGTGAATGATGGTCACCAAAAAGTTGTCTGAGAGTTTGAACAGTGGCATAGAAGGAACGGTCTCGTGGGTTCTGCGGTAGAATGAAGTTGCAATACTTATCAAGCTCTGATGGACCAAGTTTTCGAAGGAGAAGACGCACCTTCCACGAATCATCTCTGTCAGCAAGGTCGACTTTAAAAAGATCTTCATAACGTATGAACCAGGTATCAAATTTAATATTGGCATCAGGATCATAAAGAAACTCTGAAATACCACTGGTAATACCGTCGACTGATTGAGGGATTGTTGGTGTACATGAGACTCGAGAAGAGATCTGCGTCTGAGTAAACATCTCCATCAGCTTCAGCTGTTGTTTGAACAATTCTTCTAATTTAACTGGATCCATAGCTAGTCAGCAACTTGTTTGCAAAATCTCCGTCGCCAAATTGTTATAAATTGCCCAAATATTACGTATTGCGATAGGACTACACGAAATTCTACCGACTGATCAAATTCATATATCCTAGTTCGACCCCAATACTGTTCCCCAACTCCAATAAATCAGAACACAGCCGTTAAATGAGAATTGTTTATGGGGTCAGCAGCAGAACAAATATGGTTTACAGACAAGACATATTTATACAGTTAAGATGACTATTAACAGTAACCAATGGAAAGGAAGGACGTGTAAAGGTTATAATTAGGACAACTCAAAATTGACCAATAGGAAAACGACACGTGAAAGTCATAGTTAGGACAACTGTAAATAATGGCCAATAGGAAATAACATGCGAATTATGTGAAGAGTCTAAAAACATACCACTTTACATTCGAGATAATTTTTGGGATATTCCTGTGAATATCTTAACAGTTACCATAACCAATCTCATTTAAAAAATGTTGTATCACATCAGTCATACCATTGAGACGGTAAACTATTTGAATCATCAACTATACAGATAAAATAAACAATAAAACATAGAAGTTATGACTTCAAGCCGCTCACTGATGTCACGTGACAAAACCATCAGTCGGAATATTGATTTCTAAGACTTCCTTCATTACCCAACCAACCACACACCAACCAGCACTATTAGCCTTGACTCAATTCTGAATCCGCATCGGTTCTCGATTCAGTAGCTTTTCTCCTTACCTTGACTGTTGAATCCAGAACACAGAAAACACCTTCCACTATTCAAATATTATATTTTAAACACAATTAGTTCACATACAGATATATACCCGACCACACTACACCATGAAATGATATATGCCAATTATGATATGATCATGTCAAAAAGTGCCTATGTGTAGGGGAGACTCTAAAATGATATGGAATTTAATTGGCTGTCCATAAGTATTACCGATAGAATAAAACTCTGGATGTATCAGAAGAAATATTAAAGCTTGTTGGAATAACAAAATGTTCTGTTGAATCCCGAGATAATCACTTAACAAATGGACACGATTTGGTGTAGTGTGGTCGGGTATATGTCTGTGTATGAACTACATATGTTTAAAATATAATATTCGAATAGTGGAGGATGTTTACTGTGTTCTGGGTTCAACAGTCATGGTAAGGAGAAAAGTTACTGAATCAAGGACCAATAAAGATTCAGAAGTGAATCAAGGCTAATAGTGATGGTTGGTTGGGTAATGGAGGAAGTCAAAGAAATCGATATTCTGACTGGCAGTTTTGTCACGTGACATTAGGGAGCAACCTAAAGTCGTAGCAAAATGTGTATCATGAATGAATTGGACTGAAAATCATAGTATATTTCTTAAAACTACACAATTCAAAATACGAACAGTTACATCAACTTCAACTTCGTGAGATTAATAAATGAAAACAGTCAAGAATGTATTAAGTTTACAACATATCGTAATCTAATAATCTTACCTTTTATCAAATTAATTTAGATGGGTCAATTTCAGTGACAGCAGTACTAGTAGTGATTGGTTCAGTCTTAATTGTATTCGAGTTGGTACTACTATTTAATTGTTTAATATTGGATGCACTGTGCATATTCGGTGAATGAATTCCATTTGTAGGGAATGAAGAAGCAAAAGTATTGAGAACAGCTAAAGCATTCGTCAATGTAACATGATTCATTAAAGACGTTTGAGCAGAAGTGTTAACAATAACATTAGAAGTAGAGGAAGAGTCTAAAGACGTCGTCGTCGTGTTTGTAGGACTATTAAAGAAAAAGTTGGGAAGTGATAATTTCAAATTGGAGAGAGTAGTTGTATCCACTGTTTGTGAAGACTCAAGTGAAGGCGTAGGAAGTGTGGAAGATTGTTCAGTAGACACTGAAAATAAAAACGAAAACACAAGGTTATCAACATAGAACTCAACTTTATTCGCTCATTCATTTATCGATACTCAGGAAATATTTAAATCATAAGTCTCAAATATTCAATGTTGGAAGTGACTGGTTCTACTGAGATCGTCTATCTGTTTGTGTTGAAGTAGATGACATTAAAAATAGATAATACAGTGGGTAGACCAGAATTCAGTTGGTAGAGAAATCGTTTCGCATGGGTATAACCCACTGACAATCAAGGTTTACTCTGAACTCTGCCAGTAGATCTTATAGGGTTACTCCCGGTTCGAAAACCGGGTAAAGGAAGACGGCTATGTATGGCGTTAGTAACCCAGTCCCCTAGGAAACAACCTTGGTAAAAAAAAACGCTAACCAGAATAAAAGATTTAAACCCTAACCTACGAGTTGAACAATCTTCATTCAGAAGAATTATGACGTCTCATGGTGAAAAACCAAAATACTTCCTAAATCATGAGACTGAAGCCCCATCTAACAACCAGAGCAACATTTAATATAGATACATGGAATGTTAGGACAATGTGGAAGACCGGTGAGCCAATCAAACAACTATGGAAATGAGGAGATATAACTTAGCAGCGCTCAGAATCAGTGAAACCTATCGGATAGATAGGAACCCAGGATCATCAAAGCATCCTAAGTACTCATTTTCTAAAGGAATAATACAAAATAAAGTTAATAATTATATTATTATCATTCAAGTACAGATACTTATACTCAGCTATTAGCTACATTAAAAAAAAATTATGATAACTGGTGATACTGTAATGAATGAACACATTGATGGGGACAACCAAATATATTTTAATATAAAATCATTGAGTTCTTTCGTTAAATGTGAAAACTATACGTTCAACACTTCATTTGTAAATCCTCTATCAATTGTCTTAAACTTCATCACCATAACAATTACTGTCTGTTCCCGATCTCTTCGATTCGATCCTCCTAACATTCTGTTGCTAAACCTTTCATTTCTAATTGGTGTTATATACTACGTATGTCGACATAAGTAGCATACACTATAATACTACTCAGCTATTCAATTTGAAGTAGTTTATGTAGGATTTGAATCTAGGAGAAACTAGTTAAAAATAGAACGTTTTAATCATTAACTTTCACTATTTATTGTCGATTTGATGCTGTTATGTTGTGAAAATTTATACAATATGAGTGAATCCTTGTTTACTTCTAATAATTAAGATGATGATAAAGAATCTTGCGAGTGCGGGATCGTGGATGCGTACTGCTGAGGAGTCACATAATAGGACGAAACGGCCGTCCAGTGCTTCCAGGTTTTTGATGGTGGTCTAGCTTCAATTGACTCATGATTTCAATTATGAAAATACTGAAATCTTGACAAAACCCCTTCTGATAAAGAAATGTTGAGAAAATTGGAGGAGTTATAGAAAAGCTCTCTTCGAATAACTATTCACAATTCGTGTTAAAAGCGAAATTAAAGCATAATAAATTATGCAATATACACACTGGTCTATTTGATCATTTGAAATAATCCAACCTTACCACAATTAGAATCTGTATTGCTTGTATGGTCAGTAGATTTGATTAAATTAGGTGTAAATTCGGAAGTTGAAGACAATGCTGACAGACCAAAACTTGAGACTACAGCTGATAGAACTGCAATAGCTGTAAGATTTGGATTATTTGATGATCCTGGTGGTGTAATACCTAATAAAGGTGTAGGGAAATTCGATGATGTTGTTGATTGTTGAGTAGTGACAGGTGAGTCAAGTGTAGATAGTTGATTTGAGGTTGATGATACAGAGTTATCATCGGTTTTCACACTAGTCGATTTATCTGGGGAAAACAGAACAGAATCATGAATTAGTTTCTTGAAGAACAAATAAAGGTCTTAACAACATCATAAACTAAATTATATTATAAGAGGACAGTTTAAGGCGAGGGATTGGCAAAGCAAGGGCAGCATTTCTACAATTGAAGAACATATGGAACTAAAAACAACTGTCAACTAACTTCAAAGTGAGAATCTTCAATACGAACGTCAAGACAGTCCTACTGTATGGAGCTGAAACGTGGAGAACTACTACGACCATCATTAGGAAGGTACAAGTATTTATAAACAGTTGTCTACGCAAAATACTCAACATCCATTAGCCGGATACTATCAGCAACAGCGTTTTATGGGACAGGACAAACCAGCTTCCAGCTAAAGAGGAAATTAGGAAAAGACGTTGGAAGTGGATCGGATATACATTAAGGAAATCACCAATGTGCATTACAAGGCAATCCCTTACTTGGAATCCGAAAGGGAAGCAGAAAATAAGAAGGCCAAAGAACACATTACGCCGGGAAATAGAAGCAGATATGAAAAGGATGAATGTTAACTGGAAGGGATGGCCCAAGACAGGGTTGGATGGAGAATGCTGGTGAGCGGCCTACGCTCCTCCACGAGGGGTAACAAGCGTAAGTAAGTAAGTAAGGATAGTTTAATATTTAATTCTATAAGAACTATCTAAAATGGTCAACTCTTTTAGTTTCATTATAAACAGAAATTCTAATGCATAAAGAAAACTGTGGTGACTTTATATGAACTTATATATCTGCACTGACATTTGCTGCCATTGTAGTGAACGAGAACTCAGATGGGAATGACCAATTTATTATTCAATAGAAAGTTACAGAATACCTTCATCAAAAATATCAAAACCGCAAATGTTTCATCCTTTACATCTTGTATGATTCTTCCAATTCTCAATCCCTTCCTATTTTCCTCAATCGGATTTTCTTAGTCTTCTTCTGCCAGGCATTCTACTTATGATTGGTGTTACATACTATTTATGTTCGAAGACACAAATAGTATAAACCATACTATTTGAATAGGCGTTCAGTAGTTGTTGCTTTATTATGTCTTACAACTCCTGACTGATATCACGTAACAAAACCACCAGTCTGAATATCGATTTCTAAGACTTCCTTCATTACCCAACCAACCACACACCAACCAGCACTATTAGCCTTGACTCAATTCTGAATCCTCATTTGTCTTCGATTCAGTAGCTTTTCTTCTTACTTTGACTGTTGAATCCAGAACACAGTAAACACCCTCCACTATTCGAATATTATATTTTATACATATGTAGTTCACACACACATCCATATACCCGATCACACTACACCATAATATGATATGTGA